GACCTAGGGAGGCCAGAGAGAAGGAGACGCGAGTGCATGCCACGCTGGCGCGGTAGGGAGGGGTGACCAAGACGGTGGTGCCAGAGTTGAGTCTGGTGCGAGAGTAGCCGACACGAACAAGACGCAGCTAACTGACCTGACGCACCCACCTGACCTGACGCAACTACCTGTGCAGACTTAGTAGTCAGTGTGTACAGGCTAGACCCAGGCCTCCGAGTGAACGTGGCGAGGTGCTCGCCAGTGCGTGAGTCCGTACAGATCGCCACAAGCTCACCCCCAGGAGTAGTCACACTGACAAACTGGTCCTGGAGGACAGCGTTACTCACCAAGTTCTTAGAGAACGAGGGGAGGTGGAGACCTGTGAGGGAGCCTGAGGGGGCTGCCGGACACGGGAGAACGGTGGAGGCACGTACTACGACTGGGCCCCCAAAGGGGTCAGCCAGAGAGACCGGGACAGGTGCACTGAGCGGTGTGACTATGGTACAGCCGCGGAAGACGCAGCGATTCCCGCCTGAGTCAAGCGTGAAGGTGTGCAAAGTCACCACAGAAGCTGCACCTGTGCTACTAGGCTCACAGACACCTAGACTAGTAGCCTCTGCACTACCAGGGACGCGTCGTTGAGAAACCCACTCGCAAAGCTGCTGCGGCGAGAGGGTCTCCTGCTGACGCTGCTGCCGCTGCTGTCCAGTACCTCCAGCACCATAACCTCCACCACCAATAATTTCTCGCTGAATAACCCACTCACGAAGCTGCTGTGGCGAGAGAGTCTGCTGGCGACGAGACTGCCGCTGCTGACCAATACCTACAGCACCATAACCTCCACCACCAGGACGGCCTCATCGAATAACCCACTCGCGAAGCTGCTGCGGCGATAGAGTCTTCGGTTGACGTTGCTGTTGTTGTCCACCGCCAGGCACTGCTACGACCGTGATAGTGGCCATGACAGGCAGTGGCAATCAGTAGCAGCGGCGCAAGGGCGTCAGAAGTGACTGGTGTAGCTGCAGCTGTAGCAGTAGCGGTATTCACTGTAGTGGCAGGGCAGTGCACGGGCTGCAGGGCAGGGCAGCACGCGGGCTGCAGGGCTGCGCGAGCAGGGCAGCGCGCGGGCTGCAGGGCGTGCGGGCAGCCGGGCAGGGCAGCGCGCGGGCTGCAGGGCAGGGCGGCGCGCGGACTGCAGGGCAGGGCGGCGCGCGGGCTGCAGGGCAAGGCGGCGCGTGGGCTGCAGGGCAGGGTGGCACGCGATCCGTAGGGCAACGCGGCGCGCGGGCCGCAGGGCAGGGCGACGCGCGGGCTGCAGGGCAGGGCGGCGCGCAGGCCGTAGGGCAGTGCGGCGCGCGGGCTGCAGGGCAGGACGGCGCGCGAGCTGCAGGGCAGGGCGGCGAGCGGGCCGCAGGGCAGGGCGGCGCGCGGGCTGCAGGGCAGGACGGCGAGCGGGCTGCAGGGCAGGCCAGCGCGCAAGCTGCAGGGCAGGGCGGCGCGCGGGCCGCAGGGCAGGGCGGCGCGCGGGCCGCAGGGCAGTGCGGCGCGCGGGTTGCAGGGCAGGGCGGCGCTCGAGCTGCAGGGCAGGGCGGCGCGCGGGCCGCAGGGCAGGGCGAAGCGCGGGCTGCAGGGCAGGGCGGCGCGCAGGCTGCAGTGCACGGCCAGCGTGCAGGCAGAGTGTAGGGCAGGGCAGTGTGCGGGTCGAGCGCTAGGCAGCCAGGGGGCAGCGTGACAGGCAGGGTAGAGCGCGTGGGGCAGCGCAGGCAGGGCAGCGTGAGGAACGCTGTTCGGGCAGGGCATTACAGGGAGTTCGGGCAGTTCGGGCAGGTCTAAACTAGCGGTGGGCCAAAACGGAGCGGTCCTACGGAGGATGGACCCGCTCTGAATACCATGTCAGAAATAGTATGTAGGAATGATGGACTAGGTAGCAAGGATGAGTACAAGTACTACCTAACCCTAAAGTGTTGTACCCCTTAGAGTATGCCCCACTACAGCCTCGAGATAACAAATGCAATCTGACACCAACGACTGGCGTGTTCACGATGCCTTCCATATCAGCCTTCTTCGTCCCTTTGTTGCTGCCAGTCGGACATCGCCCAAGAAAATGCCGGCCGAACGGCTCGTCTTGTACCAAAATCGAAATTTCCTTTTCCGTAACGGGATTTACTGCTTCGCGTAGATCCCCAACTCTCAAAATTGCACGTTCGGCCAATTTCATCGACGCCGATGCTACCTCGCTCGCATCGCCTGCCTAGCTGTCAAGTTACGAGGTAGAACTTAGTAGGCTATGAACCATAGCGTGAGTAGTAATGAGTAGCGAGAGAAGGAGAATTGGCCAAAGAGGTTGTTCACTGTACGATTGAGGGTACAAATAGGTAAAGAACAAGGGCGAATGGTACATCACCTACAGAACGAAAGATAACTACACTAGGCTCTACTGTAGGCAGGTATAAATGTATACAAATGCATTTCAACACACCCCCTAACTGCCTGCAGTGAGAACCATATGCAACAACACCCCCTGAAGGGGTACACCAATCGGAGAGGCGCAACGGAAGAGGGCAGAGAGGCAAGAGAGAGAGATGAGAGGAGAGGAGAGGAGAGGAGAGGAGAGGAGAGGAGAGGAGAGGAGAGGAGGTGGGGGACGGGCATGAGCATGACAGCTCATTGCGATCCCCCCCCCCGTTAAGAACCCCCATTTTGACAAAAGGGGGGGAGAGGAGAGGAGGTGGGGGGCGGGCATGAGCGTGACAGCTCATGGAAATTCCCCCACCGTTAAAGCCCAAGACCTGAACTACTCAACGGAAGTCAACAGGGGGCAAAACAGCCTGCAGGGCAGGCAAACTGTGCACAGTTTGCCTTCTATTTTTGTAATTCGGGTCTTAGGCTTTAAGAACCCCCAAGTCCCCACCCCCCATTCAATCACCCCCCTTTAACCTCCAAGTCCCTCACTCGCCTATTCAGCCACCCCCTTTAACCTCACTCCCTCCCCGCCACCCTCTCACCCTCCCACCCACAACAGCAGAGGCGGCAGGGCGGCAGATGGCACGAACGGCCGTGCCTGATGCTGCAGGCTCCGGTCGCCACCCTTATCCCACTTGTCTCCCCCCTACAGCAGCAGGCGCGGGATGGCGGCAGAGGGCAGGAGCGGCGGCAGTTGCGGACGCTGCTGCAGATTCCGATCGCCATCCACCCCCCCTCGCCTCCCTCAACATCCGCTTTTGCGGTAGTGTGTGCAACAGAAGCGCAGGTGCGGCAGCGAGTAGGGAGGGGGGGTAGAGGGCGGGCATGGCTTTGCCGGTCGACTGCCGGGGCGCTGCAAGGCCGTTTCTGAGGTGCGACTGGCGGAAACGAAGGGACCGCGGCTGGGGCGGGATAGGCGGGCGCCACGGGACCGTCGCGCTGCAATTTGCGACCGTCACCCAGCTAGTCGAGGCGGTCGCACTGCAGGCCGCAACAGTCACGACAATCGCGCCCGCAGCATTAGGGATAGGCGCCATGACGGAAGGGTGGGCCCATGTGAAAAACAGTGGCCTAGGATTAGGCTTGCTCTGAAACCATGTTAAGTTACGGGGTAGAACTTAGTAGGCTAGGAACCATAGCGTGAGCAGTAACGAGTAGCGAGAGAAGGAGAATTGGCCAAAGAGGTTGTTCACTATACGATTGAGGGTACAAATAGGTAAAGAACATGGGCAAATGGTACACCACCTATAGAAGGAAAGATAACTACACTAGGCTCTACTGTAGGTGTCAGAATCCCAACCACTAGACCATTGGGATAAAAGGGCTTGTTAAGTAGCGGGTCAGTGCGCCCATAACCCCCCAGGACAACGAGCCTGTAACCCTTCCCTAGGATCAATCGGGGATCTCCATTGGAGTTCTGACACCCCCCCGCACTGGGATGCCCGAAGTGCACACACTGGGATTCGAACCCGAGACCTTCGCTCTGATACCATGTCACAATCCCAACCACTAGACCATTGGGATAAAAGGGCTTGTTAAGTAGCGGGTCAGTGTGCCCATAACCCCCAAGGACAACGAGCCTGTAACCCTTCCCTAGGATCAATCGGGGATCTCCAGTGGACTCTCGACAGTAGGCAGTTATAAATGTATACAAATGCATTTCAACACTAACCTGCACCCTAAATCGCGTTTCAGAGGTTCCCGCCTAGCTAGGTTAGCTCACTATAATGTCTCGCATCATTCATTGTATCGTCAGTCCATACTGTCACAGCTTCGTGATTCGTTATTCCGCGCAGCTCTGTTGAACAACTTATAACAATTTGTTATGAGTTGTACTAAACAGAGTGCGCGGAAGACTTTATAAAAAATATGAATTTCAGAATTACAAGATATTGAAGAAAGCAAGCATTTATAGGTTGAATACGTGCTAGGCGCGGACCTCGGGACGTGCGTGGGTTGGATGTGTCACAATTGGTGCGGAGCGACTCAGAATGTGGTTCGGGCCGAAGTGTAGGCCGAACCCAAACTGACGCGAAGTGTTCGGGCTGTCCTCGCTAGGAGCAGCCTCTACAGTAATGAATTCATATACATTACAATCTCCCACCTTCAAAATACGACCCCCTTATACGTAGGCGAGTCTTGCAGTAGCGTGAAAACTGCAAATCTTCGGTTGAAACTGATCTGACGGTGCAGAGGGGTGTGAGAATAATACGAGGAAAAATGAATGACTAGGAAATGAGATAGGTACAAATATGAAACCCTAGGAAACTGTACCCCCTAAGGTCTAACCCACTACAACCTAAACAGGCTATAACATGTATGTTTGACACACCCCCATAGGCAAAGTGGGGGAGAACAAGGGGTCACAAGACCAGTCAAGAAAAGCAAAGCAAGCTCAGGGTGGATCACGAAGTCACCACGCAGTCTGAGCACAAGCAGGTGGCCACAAGGCTAGTTCACATGCAGAGTTTTATAAAGGAGAACAAGCAATACAGTGATCACAACCTAGCAAGTGTAAGCATGCAGGTATATATATAGAGATCACAGTACAAGCAGAGTCAGGAAGTAAGCAAGTGAGGCACAGTAGGCACAAGGCCTAGAACAGTACAGAAACGCTGATGATCACAAGACTGAAGCGCCTTGGTGAAGACATCAGTAGTGTTGGCCCGAGTGGCCACGTAAGCAAGACGAAGCTGACCACGCTGCTGCAACTCTCGAGCAAGGAAGTAGCGCAGAGCGATGTGCTTCGTTCTGTGCTCCAGTCTGTGCTCCTGACACAAGGCAATCATGGCCTTGTTGTCGACGTACAGCACTGGAGGAGAACGAGGCGGCTCTCCAAGGTCGGTCAGCGGGTAGGTGAGCCAGCGTAACTCCTGTGCAGCCATGGCCCCTGCGTAGATCTCAGCCTCACAACTGGAGCTGAGAACAGAAGACGAGCGGGTAGACCGCCAAGAAACAGAGCCAGAGCCAAGGCTGAAGGTGTAACCCTATGACGACCGCTGCGTAGTCAAGTCGTCAGCCCAAGAAGCGTCAGCGTGACCAGTGAGGACAACTGGACCTCGCCCTCCAAGCACGAGCCCCATGCCCAACGTACTGCACAAGTAGCGCAACACCCTCTTAGCAGCATCCATGTGCTCCTTCCTGTGTCGGCCAGGAGCGACATAGCGTGCTAGGATGCTAAGAGGGTAGGCAAGGTCAGGTCGAGTGCAGGTCATCAGGTACATGAGGCAGCCCACAAGCTCTGGATATGGGCCACTCGGCTCTACGGACTCGTCCGAAGGTGGAGCTGAGAGCGAGTGACCGGTAGGCAGAGGAGTGGACTGTGGCGAGGAGTACGTGAAGCGGAAGCGCTGAAGGACCTGCTGCACCATGTGTGACTGAGTCAAGGTGATGGTGCGCTGTGCTCTGTCCCGGGTGATCCGCAAGCCAAGATAGCTTGTCAGCTCACCCAGGTCTGTGCACGTGTGTCTCTTCTGCAGTTCCGACTTCACGTGGGCGAGTGCCTCAGTGTCAGCAGTAGCAAAGACCAAGTCGTGTACGTACACGAGAACGTAGAACGGCGGCAGAGTGGTGTCGGTGCGTAGAAACAGCGACGGGTCAGCAGTAGAAGGAGCAAACCCAAGAGCAGCAAGAGTCGTCCTCAGTGTGTCGTGCCACTCACGGGGTGCCTGGCGGAGACCGTAGACTGGCCGCCGGAGGCTCCACTGGGTACCAGGAGGAAACGACCCAGTGAAGCCAGGTGGGCGGCGCAGCCAAATCTCCTCGTGCAGGCTGCCCTGTAGGAAAGCAGTGCTGAAGTCAAGAGAGTGGAGCTCGTAGTCACGTTGAGCGGCGACGTGCAGCAGAACCCGAAGAGTGGTCATCTTCGGGGTAGGGGAGAAGGTCTGGAAGAAGTCAACTCCCTCACGCTGACTGAAGCCTCGTGCAACGTAATGCGCCTTGAAGACAGGCGGAGAACCCGGCGGCCGCTTCACCCTGAAAATCCACATGCCACTGACGATGTTCGCCCCAGGCGGGGGAACCTCGTCGACGTAGGTGCCTGTGGACTTCCAGGAAGCCATCTCTGCGTCCATGGCTGACAGCCACTGAGAGGAGTTGGGACCCTCTATCGCCTCTGCGTAAGAGCGCGGGGTCGGGATGTCTGGTGCATCCGGGTCTCCCTCAGGGGCAATCAGCATGGACACGAGATGAGGTAAAGCAGCGGCAAAGCACTCAAACTCCTCCTATCTGTCCTCAAGGACGTCCGTGCCAAGAGCACACTCACCCCCGAGGGACGGAGGACAGACAGACTCAGACTCAGCAACAAGGCTAGCGGCGTAGTCTAGACGACAGGCGGCAGCAAAGTCAACAAGCTCAGCAACTAGAGTAGACGTAGCAGTGGACTCAAAGGAAGGGTCAGTGACAACAGTGGCGAGGAAACGCGTGACAGTAGGACTGGCAGCACGAAGGGAGTAAGACTCCGGGTTCGGACCGTCAGGAAGAGAGGACGCAGGAGGAGACGGCAGAGGGACATGCTGTGGAGCAGTGGAAGGACGCAGAGTCATATGGTGAGTGCCAGGGACAGGAGGAGGACGCTCACGCGGAGCACGACGACCAGTGCGGACAGCGCGGACAGGCGACGCTGGACGAGACTCAGGCGACGCAGGACGAGACTCAGGCTCACGACGCTCCGTAAGACCTCTAGTCGGTCCAGTGTAAGGAGAAGGACCAGGCAGTGGAGAGGCTGGCTGTAACTGTAACTGCGACTGGACAGGCGGTGGACTCAGTAGGAGAGGAGTAGAACCAGTAGAGGGCAGGAGGCCAAGAACCTGCTGAAGGAGCGGAACGTAGTACGGCCGCGGCCGCGCAGCACCTCCTGAACCAGCAGAGAAAGCACCAGTACCCTCAGCTCCAGGGTCTCCAGCTACAACTCCCGCAGCATCACCAGCAGCTCCAGCACCTCCAGCACCTCCAGCTCCAACTCCCGCAGCAGCTCCAGTCCCAGTAGCTCCAGTACCTCCAGTACGAGCACCTCCAGGACCAGCGGCTCCTCCAGCAGCTCCAGCACCAGCAGTACCTCTAGCAGCTCCAGCACCAGCAGCACCTCCAGCAGCTCCAGCACCAGCAGCACCTCCAGCAGCTCCAGCACCAGCAGCACCTCCAGCAGCTCCAGCACCAGCAGCACCTCCAGCAGCTCCAGCACCAGCAGCACCTCCAGCAGCTCCAGCACCAGCAGCACCTCCAGCAGCTCCAGCACCAGCAGCACCTCCAGCAGCACCACCAGCAGCTCCAGCACCAGCAGCACCTCCAGCAGCTCCAGCACCAGCAGCACGTATAGCAGTAGGCCCCCCAGCTCCAGCAGCACGGCTACAGCGCCGAGCGTACCACTCACGAAGCTGCCGTGGAGAGAGGGGCTCCCGCCGCGACGGGACACTCGGAGGACCTCCAGGCTCAGCACCCCCAGGCTCAGCACCCCCAGACTCAGCAACCCCAGGCTCAGCACCCCCAGGCTCAGCAACCCCAGGCTCAGCACCCCCAGGCTCAGCACCCCGAGCAGCACCAGAGTCAACAGCTACCTCAACAGGCTCGACTGCGTCTACCTGAGACACACCTGAGGGGGCAGGACCCTGAGGGGGGCGGGGGTCTACCGGAGGAGTACCTGGCGCGAGGAAGAGCGGCGGGGGGGGGAGGGGGGCAGTGCGGTAGGGGAAGAGACGGTAGTAAGGAACCGACTCGTCAAACGTGACGTCCTGAGTGGACAGAACACGGCGCGAGGTGGGGTGGTAAAACTGCCAACCAGGCGCGTCAGGGGGGAAGCCAAGGAAGACGCAGGGAACGGCACGGGAGGACAGCTTGTCCGCAGACAAGTCGCGGACGAAAGCTCGAGATCCCCAGACACGGAACGCAGACGCATCGTCAACCTTCCCCGTCCACCGCAGAGTGGGGGAGGTCTCCGGCATGGAGACCCGGGGCTGGAGGTTGATCTGATGCGCCGCGTACTGAACTGCGAACGGCCACAGAAAATGGGGAGCAGCCGCATGGATCATGGACGTACGAGCGACATCCATGACCATGCCAATGCGGCGCTCAGCAATCCCATTTTGCTGTGGAGAGGCCGGAAGCGTGAACGTCTGGCGGATGCCCTCCGCCCGACAGAAGGCTCGCAGAAGGTCGGAGGAAAACTCTCCACCTCTGTCTGAGTGCAGACACACAACAGGAAAGTTCGAGCCGAAACTCTCTCTGAGCTGGAGACGAGCAGCGCGGATCCAGTCGATCAACACCTCAGTGACCTCACCCTTGCGGCGCAAGGGGAAGACCGTGGTGTAACGCGAGTAGTCGTCAACAACCAGCAGGAAGTAACGCTCGTGACCCTGTCCACGGACGCGGGCTGGGCCCCACACGTCCATGTGAAGATTCTGCAGGGGAGCCTCTGTCGGAGGAAACTCGGAGGAGTGAGGAGCGGCGCGCTGCCGGCCCTTGACGCAGGGAACGCAGGTAGGGGCAGGCCCCGGAGGAAGGGGTGGGAGGGACTCTGGAAGACCAGAGACAAGGACACAGGAGGCCATGCCTCAAAGTCAAGGCAGGGAGGGGTGACCAAGGCGGTGGTGCCAAAGGAGAGTCTCGTGAGACAGGAGGCGACACGAGCAGGGGGCAGACTCAGGACCAGACCGGGACGCTGCAGCAAACACCTGACCCGACGCGGCTACCTGACCAGTCGCAGTGACAGGAGGAGACTCAGTGGTAAGGGTGTACAGGCTGGACCCTGGCCGACGGGTGAACGTGGCCAGGTGACTGCCCGTCCGAGCACACGTGCAGTGCGTTACACGCTGATAGGCAGGGGTGAACTGGTGAACACCCCCATCCCGAAGATCAGCACCCGCCACCATGTTCGTAGAGAACGAGGGGAGGTGAAGACCAGACAGCGAGCCGGACGGAGCCGCAGGACACGGGAGAACAGTGGAGGAACGGGCCACAACTGGTCCCCCAGAGGGGTCAGCCAGAGAGAGTGCCACCGGCCGACTGAGCGGCGAGAGTGTGGTGCAGTCGCGAAAGAAGGAGCGGGAAGCACCCGAGTCAAGGGTGAAAGTGTGCAAGACCTGAGCCGACGCGGTACCTAAGAGAGCAGCCTCACCAGCACCTGGAGCAGCAGACTCACTAGCACCTAGAGCAGCAGCCTCAATGCCCGGGTCGGGCGGAACACACAGGTAACAGTCACCCTCAGCACACACAGACACAGCATACATAGCACCAAGGATAGTGTCATAGTCAAGATCAAAGATAGCAACCCCCGACCTAAGCAGATCACCCCAGCGAGGGATCTCAGTTGAGCCAGGGAACTGTGCACGCCAGGCGTCAGTCAGGCGGCCGAAACAGCGTGGAGTGGTGTGCGGGCCGCCGCACGTCTCTCCATTGCGGTCGCCGGTGCGAAGAACGTAGGTGCAGGGACCAGCACCCCCAGACCTCCCACGCCCAGCGTACCACTCACGAAGCTGCTGAGGCGACGGGGTCTCACGGGAGCGCTGCTGCTGCTGGCGCTGGCCACCGCTCGAGCCTCCCCGCTGCCCACCACCGCCACCCCCACCTCCACCGCCGCCGCCGCCACCTCCACCTCCACTGCCGCTGCCTCCGCCGCCTCCACCTCCACCGCCGCCACCGAAGCCCCCACTCCCGCCACCACTCCCACCTCCACCCCCACCCCCTCCGCCTCCTCCACCGCCACCACCGCCGCCCCCTCCATCCCCTCCACCCCCCTTGCCCCCCTTGCCCTTGCCGTAGCGGCGCTTCCCACTAGGGGTAGACGCAGCGCCAACCGACTCGGTGCCAACGAGGTCGGCAGCAGCAGCAGAGGCAACAGAGGGCAAAAGAGGGACGGGGGAGCACCCCTCAAAGAAAGGGGCACGAGGGTCACCACGAGAGGCTCCTACAGCGACTATACTCTTCTCAGCTGCAAGGAGGCGCTCCTCGAGGAGGTCAACGGTGAGCGTGGTGGGGCAAAGGGAGAGGAAGTGGTCCCTGACCGAGCGAAGGGAGTCAGGGAGCCGGGTGACGAGGTAGTAGAGAGTGATGTACATAGGGGGGGGGTTCGCGGCGCAGAACTCGGCAGGAAGCGCAGCGCGGTAGCGGGTGTCACTAGTGCGGAGGTGCTTAAAGAGGTCAGCGACTGTGGCAAAAGCAGCTAGGTCAGGGAACAGGTACGGCAGCATGAGGCGGCTAAGGGTAGAAGTGGCAGGGGAGGAGTAGCGCGCAACAACAGCAGTGTACATAGTGCTAGCAGTCTTGTACTGGCTAAAGTGCGCGCGCTCAGCAGACGGCAGGTGACTACAGACAGCAAGACGGGCAGCAGCATCGCGCGTGGTCCACTGTGAGCGAACAGTACTGGCAGCATCAGCAGCAGGTGCAACAGAGGCGCCAGAAGTGAGATCAAACAGTGAGACACCATCCTTGCTATCGCACTGCAGGAAAAGCTGCAGATCATCGACCCAGACCTCAAAATCGACCGCTCTACCCTCAACATCGAAGGTGAGTACGTTAGGGTTGGCCATAGCAGCAGGAGCAGCAGCAGTGGCCTAGCGGCAGCAGCAGCAGTAGCAGCGCGACTCGGCAGGGCGGCGCGGTTCGGTAGGGCGGCTCGGCTAGGCAGGGCGGCGCGGGCGCAGCAGTGCGCGGGTGCGGCGGTGCACTTACCAGTGGTGGGCCGCTACTGGTGGGGCTGGGCCGGGGCGCGTCGGCAGGGCAGGGGGCCGCCACAAGGAGGGGCCGCGGCGAGGCGGCAGGGCAGGGCCGGGACAGTAGGGCCGGCAGGGCGGCTGCAGGCTCGGCAGCGGCAGCAGGGCCGCTACGGTGGCAGCTGCTGCTGCTGCAGGGACGGCGACGGCAGCTGCTGCATGGACGGCAGCAGCTGCAGGGACGGCGACTACGGGGCGGCAGGGCCGCTACGACGAGCAGGCGGGCGGCGACGACGGGGCGGCAGAGCCGTTACGGCGAGCAGGCGGGCCGCGAAGAGCCGAGGAGGGCCGCAAAGGGGGGCCGCGAAGGGGCCGCGAAGGGCCGCGAGGGGGCCGCGAAGGGCCGTGAGGGGGCCGCGAAGGGCCGCGAAGGGGCCGCGAAGGGCCGCGAAGGGCCGCAAAGGGCCGCGAAGGGGCCGCGAAGGGCCGCTAGGGGGGGGCGCGAAGGGCCGCGAGAGGGGCCGCGAAGGGCCGCGAAGGGGCCGTGAAGGGGCCGTGAAAGGGCGCGACGGGCGGGCAGGCGCACGGGGCGCAGTTAAGGCAAGCGCGAAGCGCGCTCCGGGCAGGTAAGAGAAAAAATTCGAAGTGGTGGGCCCTTAAAAAAAAAACCGGTCCCACTAGGGAACTCGATCTGATACCATGTGAGAATAATACGAGGAAAAATGAATGACTAGGAAATGAGATAGGTACAAATATGAAACCCTAGGAAACTGTACCCCCTAAGGTCTAACCCACTACAGCCTAAACAGGCTATAACATGTATGTTTGACAAGGGGTGTTGACCGTCGAGCTGACGCATGGCTGGAATGGCTGGTCAGGCGAAGTCTGACATGGCTGGTGTCAAGAATAGGCAGTAGAAAGTTAGAACAGGAAAGAGGGGGTTTCACTAGCAAACATTGGGATACATATAGCAAACCCTAACAGGGCTGTACTCACTATAGAGTACCCCACTGCAGACTAGAAAAATATAACATTCTGACACACCCCCATAGTCAAAGTGGGGTATAATCAGCACAGCAAGCAGTCATAGAGCAGGTTCACAAGTACAAGCAAAGCTAGAGGCATTCACCAAGGGCAAGTGAGGAGGAGGAGGCTGGACTGTGAGAGGAGAGGAGATAGGAGGCGACGGCTGAAGCTGCAGACACACGGGCAACAGGAGCGGCGCGCACGGTGGCTACCGGAGCAAGGGCCCCGGACTACAGGAGTAACTGGCTCTGCGACTAACTCTGAGCGGCAGCAGCAACGGACCCACGGGCGACTGGCGCAGCAGGCTCGCTGGGCTACCGGAGCAGAGCCCCTGACTACTGGCGCTGCTGACCACACGACGGCAGCCTCTGCTCAACCTCCCCCAACCGTCCCACCCCCCTTTCACACACCCCTTGTTGCACCCCTAGCTCCACTCCCACGTCACCCCCCTAGCGCCACTCCCTCGGCTCCCACACACCCACCCCCCTCAGCGGCAGCTGCAGCAGTGAGAACGGAGGAGGAGGAGGAGCAGGGGACGGCTCACACACCCGCCACCCCATACCCGCCACCCCCATACCCCCAACGCAGGGCAGAAACGCGGGCAGCAGCTGGGGCGGCGTGTGAGCGGAAGCGGGGCGGCGCGCGGGCCCCCAGGGCGCCTCGACGAGCGACGGGAGGGGGCGACGCGCGGGCCCCCAGGGCGCCGCGACGGGCGACGGGCAGGGCGGCGCGCGGGCCCCCAGGGCGCCGCGACGGGCGACGGTATGGAAAGGGCCGCGCGCGGGCCCCCAGGGCGACGCGACGGGATCGCGGGGGGCGCGCGCGGCTCCCCAGGGGCGACGCGACGGTCGACGGGGGGGACGCGCGGGTCCCCGAGGGTGGCGCGACGGTCGACGGGGGGGAAACCGCCGCGCGCCTCAGGGCGCACGGCGGGCAGAAAACCGCCATGCGCCCTGAGCGCGTGGCGGGAAGAAAAAACGTCGCGCGTCACGGGGCGCGCGACATACAGGATAGCAGCGGAAGCAAGTGGGCCCACAGGCCAGGAGCGTAGTCGCTCTGATAGCATGTCAAGAATAGGCAGTAGAAAGTTAGAACAGGAAAGAGGGGGTTTCACTAGCAAACATTGGGATACATATAGCAAACCCTAACAGGGCTGTACTCACTATAGAGTACCCCACTGCAGACTAGAGAAGTATAACATTCTGACAGCTGGAATGCCAGCCGTTGATATTGTCGATGTCGATCAGGCGGCTGCGATCGAAATGTCGAGTTGAATTCGCGAAGGAACATGAGTCGTCGATGAAGCGGATTTCGATCGGATGGTAGTGACGCTGGCGATGTTGGCGGAAATTCTGACGCGATGTCAGATGTCGGTGAATCGGAGCTGTCGATGTCGATGGAGCAATCGCGAGCATCCATCGAGCTGTCAGTGTCTGACGAGAATATCAGAACTGCACAGTGAGTACAGTGCGAAAGCACACTTCCCCCCCCCCCTTGAATAGAGGGTAGTCCACCAAAAGTAGTACAGCTGCGCGGGCACAAAAACTCCAACCACCCTGACGCCAGGGGTAGTCAAGAATACCAAGTTTTATGAACCCCGTCTGGATTTTAGCAGTTGCACATTCGAAGTTGGTGTCGGTGGCAAATTTCGATGATGTGGCGCGAACGCCAACATGGTAATCTCTATCGAATGTCCCCTTAAAATCGTTCTTGCGCAGGGACTCAGCAGAAGTTTTCGAATAAATTTCCACGATGAAATTTTCTTGTTGTCGAGATGCCGAAACTGTATCCGAAATTCCTCGAATGCTGCAGTTCCTCCAGCTGGCAGCATCTGCAGTCTGAAAATCACTGCTGTTGTTATGTTGTTGTGGCAGTACCGAATCTCGCGATCGCTGCAGCAACTCCAGCTGTCAGCAGTTGCAATCCCAGATTGCTGCTTTTGTCGCTGACGCGACCGTGTTGTCATTTTGTCGGAATCGATCCGTTGAAGGACCATCCAAAATCTCCTTTGAATCGTGACTCCGTGTCCTTGTAACTCGTCGCCGAAGGTCGTAGCTAAATTGGCGAATTCGTTTTAGCCCAAGCGAGGATCGGCGAGGGCGACAGATCACGCAACCCCACATTGTGTGTTTTTCAAAACCCCATCGAACTCGAGCTCACGGCCGAATGACGTCATCATCCTCGGCAGCTTTGTCGTAACTCGCCGAGGCCTTTGTCGTGATCCTCCGAAAACTCCTGGGCAGGAGCAAAAACAGCTGCAGTTCCTCCCCCTGACCTCGCAAACATTTTATTCATAGTTGAACTTGAGCTTCATATGACGTCAGCTACATCGGCGACGTTGTCGTGACTCGCCGAGAACTTCCGGGCAGGGGCGAAAAACAGTTGTCGCCTCTCCCCCCCCTTCTGTCTCAAAACTTCTCCCTGGTGTTGTCGCTGGTACCCCTGAACAGCTTCAGGTTTTGCCGTCGTAAATTATACCACGGTGGTTTTCGCGCGCTTAACCAAGCGCCGCTGCAATCCCGCCGTCTTCACATAACTGTCGGCTACACCGCCGAACTCCGTTAAGACCTGGCTCCCAGTACTGCTTCTAATATCCGTTAGTTTCGGCGACGATGTACCCCGTAAAACTCGGACACAGGTAAGTTTTTGCTCTGAAATGTCCGAACGTGTCTAGTGTGCCCGCCCGATCACCCAGCTGTTCCCTGCAGTTAACAAAACTGGATTTCCCCCGTATTTGGAGGCAGTATGGAACCCAGGACTTTTTAGGGATATTCTGAGACCAAATTTCACGGAACCTAGCCCGCATCACACCATCGATCTCGTCGTTGAACTTGCCCAGGCCGCTTCGAAGTACACCGCGAAGTCGTTTGGCGAGCAGACGTTTACGCGTCTCCCACCTTCTTTTTATTTGTTTCGCCCCCCGACAATATCGGCGAGCCACCGTTCACCCAGCAACCGCGTTAATTGGATGAGGGATAACTCTGTGTTGCCCGCGATTTTTCTGACACTCGGTGAAGGTGCGAACGTTATCGTAGTCGGAGAGTGTTTATCATATCAAACGCTTAGGTCAGCCGCTTCGTTGCCCACCTCGTCTATCGCGTTTAAAACTCCACAGCTTCGAGAACTCCATCTTTGCCGCTACACCTTCGTCGGGTAGACCGTTGATTTAGGAGAAACACCGACAACTGCCACAACCTTTTCAGCTCCGACTTTTTCGGCGGGGTAAAAACTGTTGCCGATGGTCCGGTTTTGTCGGGGCCGAAACAGTGTCGCGCCACTCCACGCGCCACTGCGAAATTTTCTTTTACGCCCAGCTGTCGAACTTGCGCAATACCCACGCTTTTTAGCCAGCACTGGGCTAAACGCAGGGCCCCACGTTATTCGTCCAGTGCCCTCCAGGACTGTTGCCTTTTAGGCCGCCTTCGAAGCTACCTGGTGTGGGGTATGTGAAACGTCGTAAGACTTTGGTCGGTAGTTGGGCCCATCCGGCTACCGCCACTTAGCCGCGAAACCCGGCATCAGCAAGAAGTCTTTTTTGGTGGGTCGTTATTCTCGCCTCCTGAAGCCCGAACCCCGTTTCTCTCGCTGGACCCGTACTCGACGCAACTCCGTATATTGTAGCCGGTATAACCCCCGAAAATCACGGGTCTAAACACTGCGCCGAATCGTTGTCCCGCCGATTTACTGCCCTGTCTGCGGCACAACTACCCTTAATCAGGGGGTCCTGTGCCGCCTGAAGTATAGCATCGGCTGCTGCTGTTGCTCCGAAGATTTCGCCGATTTTGTTGCAAGCGCAGAAGTGACCCTAGCGATAGACAGTCTAGTCGTAGGCAGCCTTTTCCTAACTTTTC